ATGAAGTAATATCAATTCTTCATTTCTTAAATATACACTGAGTATGGAACTGAGTCAAATTTATAAAAATAAGAACAATTCTCCAATTGATAAATGGCCAAATGTCATAAACAGGAAGTTTTCAGAAAAAGAAATCAAAGCTATTTATAGTCATATGAAAAATGCTCTCAGTCACTATTGATTAAAGAAAGTCAAATTAAAATAGCTCTGAGGTATTACCTCACACTTATCAGAAATGAAAAATGTTGGAGGGGATAAGGCACAAGTAGGTACACCAATAAACTGCTACTGGTAGAGTAGTGAACTGGTCCAACCACTCTGGAGAACAACTTGGAATTATGCCTAAAGGGTTATAAAACTCTACATAACTTTGACCCAGCAATGCAACTACTAGGTCTGTATCCCAAAGAGATGAAAGAAAAAGGAAAAGAACCTATATGTACAAAAATATTTATGTTTTTTTTTGTGGTGGCAAAGAATTGGAAATTGAGGGGGTGTTTAATAATTGGGGAGTGGCTGAACAAGTTGTGACATAATATTGTGATAGAATACTACTGTGCTATAAGAAATGATGAGGGGGTGGTTGCAGAAAAAACACTGTAAGACTTGCATGAACTGATACAAAGTGAAATGCAAAGAACTGGGAGTAATAGTAACTGGCACAGTAACAGTAATGCTGTGATGATAATCAATTGTGAAAGACTTGGCTGCTCTGATCTATACAATGATCTAAGACAGTTCCAAAGGACTCGTGATGAAAAAAATGCTATTTACCTTCAGAAAGAGAACTGATGACCTCTCAGTGCAAACTGAAGTATAATTTTCTCACTTTCTTTATTTTTCTTAGTTTTATTTTTTGAAATATGGCTAATATGGAAATATGTTTTACATGATTTCACAGGAACATTTGATATATTGCTTACCTTCTCAATGGGTGGGGGAAAGAGTGGGAAGGAGGGAGAAAATTTGAAAGTCAAAATTTAAAAAAGAAAAGAATGCTATAAATAAACAATAAAAAAAAAAACTTGACTGACTGATCATCATCCCAGAGACAAGTTCACAACTGCCTTATAAGAGAGAATCAAATAGCTGTGCTGTAGTTTCCTTTTATCTAAATCTGGAGTTTGGTCTGAGTCCAAACCCTGACTCAGCTATTTGCTACTGGTGTGACCCTGGGTAAGTCACTTATATTCTCTAAGCCTCAATTGCTTCCTTTATAAAAAGAGGACATTGAAACCTGATTTCTGAGGGGCCTTCCAGATCTAAATTGTACAATCCTGTGGTCGCACTGGCAGTGGCTTGATTCGTCTGATTAATCTGTCAAAGGATTTGCCACCCACCTGGGACCAAACCTTATGGGTGGAATTGGTTGGAATTTACAATTAGAACATTTCAAAAAGGTCCTTTTGCTGAGTGCAAAGACTGAGCACAGTAACTCCATATACCTGTGGGTTGAACTGGTCAGGAAGACTTGTGGGGGTGGGAGTTGGGGTGTAGGATTTAATCCAGTTTTTAAAAGCTGGGTAGGGATTGGGTAATTAGAAAAGTGAGTTATTCCAGGGAAAAATAACAAGATCTAAGACATGGATTTGGAATGAATACCTAAATTGGGCTGCCTGTTTGGGGCAGGCAGATCATTGTGCAGAGCAGTAGGAGATATTATTCAATAAGTAGCATTAGTATTATTGGATAATATATAGTATTATTAGATAGTGATTAGACCGTGGAAGGCCATGAACGCTAGGATAAGGACACTATGGTAGGCAGTTGGAGTCCATTACAGTTTTTTGAGAATTTGCTTCCCAACTAGAACAAATTGATATGCAAATGGTTACTATGCACCTTTGAAAGGACTTAGGTGCTTTTTGCAAAAGTGCCATAAGAATCCTCCATATTCAATTCAATGTAGTTCAACGAATATTTGTTAAGTAACTACCATGTGCAAGGGCATGTCTTGCCAAGCACAAGTCTAAGAACTAACAAGTTTGAAGGTCTGGCCAGAGAACATGTGCAGTTAATTAAAAAGTATTATTGATGTCTTTTGTTTTTATACATCAGTAATTTTCAAATAGATCTCCCTGAAATGAGCCCTTCCTAGTAAAATAAAAGCAGTTAAGGGAAAAAACAAACAAACAACAAAAACAACTAACAAAAGTGCAATGCTTCACAATGCATGCAACAGTCTTCATCCACAGTCCTTAACCTTTCTATGGAGAGCAGGGAAATATTTTTAAATTATTTGTTCTTTAGGACGGAAATTGGTCACTACAATGAAAGGTCAGCCCCTAGGCCATTTTCCCAGTTAGCTGTAAGGTATAGAAGTGAGCACTGTTTGAAATCGCTTCTACAATCATAGTAGATGCCAATTTACAGTTTGGGGGAGAGGCCGTTAAGTTAGCAGAATCAGGTTCAAGTTGACCTGAAAGTTTCCTTTCTAATCTAAAATTCTATGATCTCTGATACCTATCTGGAAAGTATCATGAAAACTGTTCCCTATTTACCTCCAAGGAATAAGTCCAGAATGCTTAGAGTTCTTCAGAGGAAAAGAAAAAGTTCTGTATAAGCTAACACTGTCACTGCTGTTGTTCCTGACCTTCCATCTCTAATGCACACATAAAACCTTTTGGTGACAGTTTCCTGGAGACAGACAACTCCCTTGTTCTGGCTGAAACTACTGTCAGCAACAATCTAGCTATCTTGGCCAAATTACTGAGGGGCCCCCTCTCCAAATAGCTTTGAAGCAACACCCCCTCCCCTTCCAGTTCCAGTGCATTTTGTAAGTACCCAGAAACTAGTTGCCCAATCCTAGTAAGCCGTGGGGACACGTTGGCTTCTCAACATGATGAATGGACTCCAACATCTGACATATTTCTGTGGAATTAAGCAATGACAAAAATCTTTTCTTTGTTGTGCTTGACATAACCCTTTTTGCTCCTGTCAAAGACAGGGATATATAAAAATGCTTTACCTGGCCTCTTACTGACTAAACTTCAATACCTCTTTGATTCAGCTGCTGGGAACTCAAGGTTACTGAATATGAGTCACGTGAAAAAAATAACTTCTGGAATCTGGGCCCAGTCCTAGCTTTGTGAACACAGCTGGATCAAGAAGGCTATGGAAGCCCTCACTGGTTCTATCGATTTGAAACTTCGTGCTTTGCTCCCCCCCCCCTTTTCCCTGTTCAGTAATGGAAATCAAGACAGGATATAGAAACATCCTGCCTGGATTAGCAGGGGGAATGACAGGCAGGCAGTTTTCCTACAAGATGTATCCCAACATCATATAAATCAAATGTGAGGTTTAATAGGATGCAAAGCTGGACTGTAAAATTCAGTTCTCTGGTCATTAAATGTGTGTGATCTACTTTCATCTTCAGAATCGAGCTCCTGCCCCAATCTTAAAGAACTACTTCTAAGAAAAAAAATCACAAACTTACACACACACACACACACACACACACACACACACACACACACACACACACACTCACACACCCCTAATAGTTCTGGCCAAGGAATATCTTCCTGTCTTGGCTTGACATAGGGAATTAACATCTCGCAAGTATTTCCTCTGTATTCTATCAACAACTACTTGCATTTGAATAATTAGAAGTATCATGCATTTTTTTCTGTCCCCCCCCCCCCATGCCCACCATGAAAACTGCCTACATCTCCCTTGCCATACACGGGAGGGCCGGACCTCATGGAAAACTCAGAAGTCTCACAACAACACAAATGTTCTTGAATTGTAAAAAGCAGTTCTCTCTGACACCCACACATTAAAGAATATTAGTCCCAAGTCCTCATCTTTGGGTGCTTGGCTTTTCTCCTCTAACTACTGGCGCCACTTAAAATATGGGAGACTAGGTGACTATAATAATTGAACCTAGCCAAAATTGAGAAGGCCCAAAAAGGGGGGGGGGCAAAGGGTATTGAAAAAAAAAGTTAGTTTGTAATTTCAAAAGATGGGTGGCGTGGGTGGGGAAGAGCTCACAGAATCTTCTACATATCCTCACAATGAATCTTTTCACATACGGCTTCCTGTTAGCAAACCATGTGCTAACTCAAAACTAAAAAGAGAAAGAAAACAGATACCAGCGGGCTTACAGAAAACCCCAACTAGTCAAGGGTATCACCCTCACCATTGCTTCTTTTGCCCATTCATAATACCTTGTTGGGCTATTGGAGTTTGTTTTGAATACTGCTCAGCAGTCCTACTTTCAGCAGAACTCTCTTGGCAGCTTGGGGAAAAAAAGTTCTCAGAAAGTTCACTTCAGTTATTAAATACTTGGACTCCCTCTCCAACTGTCTGCATTTTTATTATTTTATGAAAAAAAGTTCTTGCCCAAGATCTCTCTCTTGTGCTCTCCCTCCCGCTCTTCCCCCCTTCTTAAACTTCAGGGGCAAGGGTGGGGAGGCGGGGACAGATAACAGTATCATGCTTTTAAATATGGACAGTTTTCAGCTTCAGTATCAAGTTACACATAGCCAGCTAGTGGCTTATGCCCAGATCAAGCCAGGCAGCTTCTAGGAAAAGCACTATTGGTGCCTTAAGACTTCAACTGTTCCACTAATCCCCCCCCCGCCACCTCCATGTTTTGTTTTAATTCCCCCAGAGGAAGGGAAAATGTCCCAACAAATGAACAAACATCAAAATACAAGGAGTTCGTCTGTTCCCTTTCCTTTCCCATAATTAACTCAGTTCTTAGACTGAAGAGGGGAAAAGAGAAGAATGTTGTTTTGAAAGGTATCCCTCTTTAATGAATTTATACCAAACTTACTGGCTGGACCCCCTCTCTCCCTCCTAGGCTCTCCTTACTCCTCAAAAAGAAAAGAAATATAAGGTACTTTGGTTTTACATCCAGTTTTCTTTCCTTCTCTTTGAGGTCAGTTTCCTCGGGGAAATGGGGAGTCTGTGAATAGCCCCCTTTCCTCCCCCCATTGAATTCTAACTGTTTCCAGGCAGTGTGGGACAAACACACAGTACAAACAGGTACTCACCGTCATCCACTGTTGTACTGTTTGGGTCACTCATAACTGACAGACTCCAGAGCGCCCTGGGCCACTGGTCTCGGCTGGCTCAGGGAGGGCTGGGGAGATTGAGCAGAACAGCTGGAAGGATCAGAAAAAGGCAGGAGTCTCCTGGAGAAGTCTCCTCTTGTTCTTGTCTGGTTCCTGACCCTTCGACAACTGGGAAAGGAAACAGCACATGTGTCATTCTCTTTACAGCTCACATGCTGAGGGGAGGGGCTCAAATTTGGAGATAGGCAGGGTTGTTAGCTTTTTTTTTCTTTTTATTTTCCTTTTCTCCTGAATGTTAGCTGACCAGGGGTTTCTACCTTTTCTTTTCTTTTCTTTTTTTTTTTAATGAATACACACTCACTCTGGAACACACATGCTCATTTGCACTTCTCTCTCTCTCTCTCTCCCTCCCTCTTCCTCTCTCTATCACACACACACACACACACACACACAACACACACACACACACACACATACACACACACACGATATTTCTACTCACCCCCAGGAAGGAGATAACTCTTCCCAACTTACTTTTCATATGGGCCATAGGAAACTTTGGACTACAAATTATTTTTTTGATGAAAGTGGTTACAAAACTCCCTAGTTCTTTGGTATGGTGCACTATTAAAGGGAGAGGTTTGGACCTTTATGAGAAAAAGCTCTGGTTTGGGAGTCAAGACACCTTGTCCTTGCTCCTGGTGTGAGGACTTTGTGACCTTGGTAAATCAGTTAACTTCTTTATGTCTTTAGTTGTGTCATCTGTGAAATGGAACTATAAGTACATGTGTGTACAAATGTACAGTAAAACCACTAGCTAGCAAGCAGACCTATAAAAAACATACTAAGAAAATGTGATATATGAATGTAATGGAATACTATTGTGCTATAAGAAATGATGAACAGGCTGACTTCAGAAAAACCTGGAAAGACTTGTATGATTTGATGCTGAGTGAGGTGAGCAGAAACAGGAGAGTGTTGTACACAGTAATAGCCACATTGCAAGATGACTAATATTGATAGACTTAACCCTTCTCAGCAATACAAGGATCTAAGACATCTCCAAAGGCCTCATGTTGGAAAATGCTATCCACATCCAAAGAAAGAACTATGGAGTTTGAATGCAGATCGTGCCATTTTTCTCTTCTGTTGTGTTTTGTTTCCTCTTTCTGGTGGTTCCTCCTATTGGTTCTAATTCTTACTTACAGCATCACTAATGTGAAAATATGTTTAATAGGAATGTATATATGTAGCCTATATCAGATTGTGCACCGTCTTGGGGAGGGAGGTGGGGAGAAAAGGGGAGAAAAATTTAAACCTCAAAAGCTTATGGAAGTGATTGTTGATAAATCAAAATTATATATATATATATATATATATATATATATATATATGTATATATATACACATATATATACATATATATACATATATATATATATATATATACATATATATATGTGTAAAGAACCTGAGAGAATTGACTAAAATTAATTGAAACAAAACTTCAGTAAAGTTGCAAAATAAAAGAAAAATCCATTGAAAAAAAAAGAAAATCATTTTGGCAGCTGTGAGGCAGTCCACACAGGAGAATGAATTGGATAGGGGAGAGACTTGTTTGAGGCAGAGAGACTATATAATAATAGAGGCACGAGGTAACAAGGTCCTGCACTGGGGTGATTGCTGTATAAGTAAAGAAAAGGGGATAGATGGAACTGATATAGAAATAGAGACAAGATTTGACAACTAATTGGTCGTATGGTATAAGTGAATGAGGAACCAAAGATGCTACCAAGGTTATGGACGTAGATGGCCAGAAGGATGGGGGTGTCCTTGACAGTTATAGTGAAATTTGGAAGAGGGGTGTTTTTTGGGGTGGGGGAAAGACAATGTGATGCAGATCTAAACCCATCCATGTTTCATGTTTATTCATCCTGTACTGCTCTTACTATTCTAGCCAAAATGAAAAACAAAAAAAGATGGTAGTATTCTTATACCTGGTCATGACCCCAGAGTGTAGAGCTTCCATTCTGTGGTGTGTCTGCTATAGCTGTCCGATGATCTAAGGCGGAGGGGGACATTGGACATATGTGTGCTGGAGTAGGTGGAAGATTTCCCAATGGTTCCTGTGCAGCTTCTGCTGTCAGTGCCTGGGTGCAAACTATGTTATAATTGCTCTAAGGTGCCAACAGTGGCTCAGAAGGTAGGGATAAATAGATGGTAATATTGGGGGCTTCTGCAGTGGAAAGAAGGGCTGGAATAGGGACAGGTATTAGAAGAGAAGGGTTGGAGTGAGGTGGAGACAAGACCCACAATTGGTTACTGTGGGGGAAAAGGGATATTAGGAATCTTTTTGCCCATTAATTGGTTCATTATATACTTCTTGGGAGCAGGACATATCTTCCATTTTGGAACACGCTACCCTAGCCAACAACAGGTAAAAAAATAGCTATTTGGAAGAGGATGGGGAATTGCTAGAGACTGACCTGCTGACAGTAATAAGAAAAGACAGCTGATGGTTTGTTAATAAGAGCTGAGCAAAATACTATAAAAAGCAGACATAAAATTAAAAAAAAACCCAGCATAGTCTGGGATTATTTAGGGTAAGAACAGAAGTCGTTGACTGCATACTCCTCAAATGAGCAATTTTTAAAATTTTCTGTATTCTTGTGTATCTTTGTACATTCCCTGGTAGAATACAAGCTCTTTGAAGTCAGGGAGTGTTTTGTTTTGTTTTGTTTTTTTGGTTTATTTCTGTATCTTTATATGCCCAGCACCGAGGATTGCACTTAGTAGGTACTTAACACATATGGAAATGAATTGAATTAATGAACACATTCAATAAATATTTGATTGTCTATTATGTGAAAAGCTAGGTACAGCACAGGATATCAAGATGAGCAAGATATAGTTCTTGCCTCATCTCTAAGGTGGGAAAAGACATACGCATATGTAACAATAATGCAAGGCAGAATAGAAAAGTGCTGTAAGAGAAGAATGAACCTCTTTTCTGGAGTTTTAGAGGAGTAGATTATATCCAGTTGGGGAGGAACAGGGAACACTTTACAGAAGAGGTGGCAAAATTCTAAGAGATGGTCATAGAGGAGAAGGCTGCAGATAGATCAGTATCTCCAGGGGCATTGAATCATTTTGCCATAAAGGCCGTAATCCACCTTTATAGTGAAGGAAGAAAAAAAAAATCTGCCCATCTCAGTGTACCCTGAGGGCAATCATTTTGAAATTTGCATTACTTAGGAGATATTCTTCTTAGGTGTCTCCTTGACTCCTGGGTTTGCACTTCAAAGTTTTTACATAGCTCTGGTCTTTTCATCAGGAGTGCCTAAAAGTTCTCTATTTCATTCAAGTTCCTTTTTTTTTTTTCCAATAGTTTTGCTAAGTAAGTTATTCTTGGTTTTAAGCCTATACCTTTTGCCTTCTGGAATATTATACTCTTTCTTTATGATGGTAGCTGCTAAATCTTGTGTGATCCTGACTGTGGCTCTTTAGTACTAAATTCTTTCTTTCTGGCTGCTTGCAGTACTTTTCTTTGACCAGCAAGATCTGGATTTTGGTCATGATCTTCCTGGGAGTTTTCATTTTGGAGTATCTTTCAGAAGGTAGATTCTTTCTATTTTCACTTTGCCTTCTGGTTCTCGGGGAGCTAGGAAGTTATTTTTTTATGATATGTTGAAATATGATGTCTAGGATACTGTTTTGGTCAGGGCTTTGAGTAACTAAAATGCTTTTTAAGTTATCTCTACTTGATCTGTTTTCTAGGTCAGTTGTTTTTGCTATAAGATGCTATACACTTTCTTCTATTTTTTCCAGTTTTTTTTAATACTTATTGTTGTCTCATAAAATCATTGACTTCTAATTTTCAAGGAGTCTTTTAATTGGGGAAGAATTTATACCTCTTTTTCCAAGCTGTTAATTTTCTTTCCAATTCTGCCTTCCATAGCTTTCATTTCTTTTCTGATTTTTCTCCTGGCTCTCTCATTTATTTTCTGGTTATTTTCTCTAATGTTCTTATCTGATTTATAAAGTCATCTTTTAGCTACTAATTTTTTTCTTTTTGCTTTATCACTTTTAGGATTTTTAGTTGAATTTGTGTCCCAGGTGTGTTTTACTTTGAAACTTTGCTTGTTGACATTTAGGAGTCATTCTCTTCTTTTGGATTTGTGTCTTGAGTATCTTTTTCACCGTAATACCTCTTTAGTTTGAAAATATATGTGTATACATGTGGGTGCAGTTGTATATTGAGTCTTCAGAGAGAAGAACAAGAGAAAGAAGTGAAACAGGAATGGATATACCCATGCAAGTAGACCCCCCACATACACACAAACACACTTTCAAACTTTCAATGGACTTATAGTGATCTGTTCCAGGGAAAAGTCTGAGCAATGCTCTCCTAATCATGAGCTCTAAGTTTCTGATCTCAATTTCAGTCTGATTAAAACAACTGCAGCTTGCCCCTAGTTGATATTTCAACCTACTGGACTCCATTTCAGTTTTTACTCTAAAGCTTTGCAGAGATTCAGAGTGATAGAACTATAGACTCCCATTTTGTTTGGGCTTCAAAACTATGCCTTCTCTACTGCTGGCTTATCCTGGAAATTTCCTTAGCAACTAGGGCCTCTTGAAATTGGCCTGGAATGACCTATCATCCCTGTATTCTGCTTCTTCTAGAATATTCTTCCACAAGGCCCATTTCTGCTTCTCCCATTGGTGGGTTATTCCTGGAGCCTCCATTTTGTGGAAGAGCCCAGGCCAGCCTGTATTCATTTTCCTGCTGGCTCTGACCCTGAATTTCTAGATGTCAAAACTATGCCCTTGTACTAGGTACCTTCCTTCCTCCTTCCAGCTCCTTTTTGTGTGTTGTCTTCCCTTTTAGAATGTAAGCTCCTTGAAGGATGTGACTGTGTTTGTATCTCTAAAGCTCATCATAGTGCCAGAAACATAGTAAATGCTTGTTTTCTTCCTCCCTCCCTTTATCTTTCCCTTCTTCCCTCCTTCCCTCCCTTTCTTCCCTCTTTAGCTTGGAATGCCAGATGCATCTGTTCCCAGGTCAACACCACCCCCTCCCCCCCAAGCATCCCCAGTGTCCAAAGACCTCTTTGTCTGTCAGTGATTTTTTTTCTGGGATTTCTCAATCAATATCTGGTCTTGTGAATTTTCTAGATGAGAGCCCAACTATACTATTCTCTTCTATTGTGCCATTTGGGGTGGTCTTTCTAAAATTGTTTATTAAATGTTTGCTAAGTGAAGGGAATATGGTGTAGTGGGAAGAACTCTAGGCTTGGGGGGAAGAGGATTGAGCATTTATGTGGTGCTCACTATGGGCCAGGTACTGTGTTAAGTGCTTTACAAAGATTATCTCATTTGATCCTCACAATAAC